TAACAAACATTTTCAGATAGGAGCTCTGAAAGACCTCCCTTGTGAGGTCCCTTGTAGGTGTATCGCACTCGAAAATGGGAGTAAAGGTGCTAAGTGTCTGGCGTCTCAGAAAAAAAAAACAGCCGCTCACACTTTCTGGAATCGAGCTTTCAATATTTCAGAAGGTGCGAAAAGAACGAAGCACAGTCCTTTTTCCCTATCATTTCTCTTTTCATCAATAAATCTTTTACTATTTCCCCATTTCTTAAGTACTTGCATTTGGGCTCCTCTCACCAGGCAGCGGCAATCGGCCGAGAGGTTTTCTCCGTTCTGAGTTGGCATGGGCATGCCTAATTTATACGAGCCCTTTATGTTGTTGCCTCGTATTTTTCAGTCGTGACAGTAGCAGGATTCCCGTGGTTGCATACCTTGCCTACAGAAGACAGTTATCATGGTATGTACACCCCTCATCATTGCGGACTGTCGGGTCGCAAGTCAGCGGTTCCCACCTGCGGCCTTCCCACCAGTGGCTGATTCCTTCCTACATCGATCATTGCTCGATCACCATTGGTAGAGCAAGGCAGCCGGACGCGAGCTCGTGCCGCGCTGCGCTCCAGGGTACAGCATGGGGATGTGCGAAATGGCGGTGTGAGTACGACCCCCCCCCCTCGAAGAGGGTCCAGATACGACCCCCCTGCTCTAACTGACAACCAGATGCATGTTCACCACAAATGGCTTCCTGAAATGGAATCTGGATTTTCGAAAGGCGGACTCTGCTCTTAAATCCAGGCTCTTAGAATCAGGCAAGTAAGAAGCTTTTTCAGGGCCTCATGCAATATGAGGCTGAACAACAGCCATTACCTACAATTTTGTCTTAGGATTCAAAATAAAACTCCTCGTTCGATAACCATGTATGACATGCAACTTGTAACAAGGAACACAATCGAAACAGCGACTAATGGTGATCATTAATGAGGCGTAAACTGATGGAAAAATCAGGTCAAGGTCAGCGTGTCAGGGCCACCAGATGTGCATTCAATGAATGGTGACGGGGAAATCATAAAAACATGAACGACACAACAAAGCGAAACATGAAAAATAAAAAAAATGCGGAGCCAAATGAGAAAAAGTAATAACCAGGCGGCAGTAAATCGTTCTATACTTGGCTATTATCGATCGCAAGGTCGCAACCGCTTTCGCTGCAAAAACGTCATTGGAGCGCGGTAACTCGAAAGTCAGCGTCCTGGGGTCTTCGGAGCCCCCCCGTCCTTTTTGCAGGAGCTTATATCTTTTTTTAGGTGCGGAGCTTTTGAGGAATGGTGAGCAGCATGCAACGGCAAAGTTTCTACTGTTGTGTATTCTACCTAGTTGCAAACTGAACAATCCCCCGTTGGTGAAATATTCCGGATGGGTTTTGGATAGGCTAGGGGTAAATGGCAAGCGGGTTTTTATGCTTCACACGAGGACTACTTATTTCGAACGCAATTTCATCAGGATTGAAATAGTCTTGAAACCGCCCTATCTTTTCTCTTTCCAATAAGCTTTACAGTTTTTCTGAAGACCCACTAGTTCAGGAGATATTTTAGATGGGTCACAGACGCGCTACCCTCTGACCCACCCGAAAAATCGACTCCTTCTGTGCCATTGTGAGGATACACCTTCGAAACTCGCAGCAGCACATATTTCCCTTCAAATGAAGTGAAAGAGAGCGTCGCTATCACTGATGGATTTGGTCGCGAGCGTGAGCGCGTCATTACTCTCTACGGGCAGAGGTGATAGGAAAAGGGTAAATTCTATTTTGAGGTTCTTTATCCAATGCGAGCAGAGGTTTGATTCAGGTTTGGAAGGACTCACGCACGAATCTATTTGAGACGTATTATTTAGTCATCTACGTACTTACGAGTTCATGCTATTAACTGATATTTATTTATTTATTTATTTATTTATTTATTCTTGATATTCTTGCTATATTGCTAATAAATTTTTATTATTTTGTAGTCCTATTTACATCCGGGTCTTCTGCAGCTTTCCGTTCCTTCCATCAAACTTAGCAATGACAATGAGCACTTCTGTAACGGGCTTTGATAGCGAGCCTACTTTTGCGATACTCCCCATGTCCCCCGCGGCCAAGTACGAACCCGTTAAGTAGTTTTGGGGATTTTGCATGAAAAGAGGGCAGTTATTTTTGTCAATCGTCAACTTCCAGCTCCAGCTCGCCGCTACCACTGAAATGTCGAAGCATTGCTCGGCTCTGAGTGACCCTTGAGATTACGACCCCCCCCCCACTCCCCAGCGGCCAAGTACGACCCCCCTATGGGTTTCGCACAACGATGCTGTACCTGCTTCGCTCACCGACCCCTACAAATTGCACTGTTACAAATTATATCTCTAGAGTTCGTTTGTTTGCACCTGGTAGGGGAACGCTTCTTGTGAGGACTTTGCGGGAGTCTCGCCTAGTCCTCGGGCGAAACCAGCTGGCGTGGAGGTTAGATGACATACTTGAGGCGTTTTTTGCATAGTCCATGTTTCAAAGAATTGTAAGCGTCGACAGCTACAGACAGCACCGAAGCGCAAAAAAGCATTGTTTCGAGCTAGGATATGGCTTTTTCGAAAGCAAAGAAGTACCACCGATCATTGAGTGAAATGCTGGAATAGTGCGTTATAAAGTGGTTTACAAGCAGCCCAATGAAGTTGAGAACCCACATAGAGAAACAGGAAATTGACACAATCAAGAGAACTGTGTTCAAGTTGTCCACAGACCCCATACTGATTAATAAACTGTCGACAAAAAACAACAAACAACAAACAAAAAAAAATAAAGCTGAATCTCCTGTTCTTTGCCAGTAGTGAATACTTGAAGTTGCACCTAGCTGCAGAATAGAATAGAAATGGAGTTTGCACGTACCTTAGCGACTCCGGCCAAGTTGAAAATAAATTCCAATGATGAGACCTATCATAATAAGTAAAGCAGAATCCGGAAACATTTCCGTTAGGTGAGGGATAGCATGAAAGACTGAAATTGTGTCAAGCGATTAAAATGGAAGAATTCGCCTTGAGTTCAGAAATAGGACATCTTCTCGATAGAAAAAACTTACTTATCTTGGCTATACTAGCTCCTACAAGCCATAAAGACACCGTCAGCGGTACCTTCACCTCTTTCCATTTGAATAATACTATGGGATATCGCGTAAGTGGTTCTTCTTCTTCCTCATCCTAAACTGGAAACGTTCGGGATAAAACTTGAACTTTCAGGGGAATTGCTGAGTTCACTCTCTTATCGCAGTTTTTTTTACAAAGTTGTCGAGGAAGATTCAGAAATTATTTGGAAACTACGGCATGAAAAAGGTTCACAATTTTCCATTTGAATAGAGCAACACTTGAGAGAAACCCTAAGAACTTACGTCACAATCACCGGCCACCGTGATCGCCATTGATAACCCTATGAGCAGAATCCATAGCCATGCACGCCTCATGACGTCCGTGGTTCCTATGGCCTAATTCTGAACAAGGTGAAATGAAAACGAGATAATGAGAACTGTTGTAGGCTAACGACTCGTCATTGAAGTAACATCAGAACTGCAGATTCCCCCTCCTAGTAAACGAACTCAGTAAAGATAAAAAGAGAGCCGCATTATCGCATCCGAATTCATCCATGTCAAACTTCTAGACCTTGTCTTACACACAAGAGGGATATTGTTGGCAATTCCGTAATCAGTCGGGGCGGTATCGGGGATGGGGGTGGCAGAATGAGTCTGCATTCAGCTGCCTTTTCTACGCATAGTAACAGATTAGTGAAGAACCTAGGAAGAAAACAGCCAGTGTTGAGAACGAAGTGTGTAAGCTCAGTCCATCTCTCTTGGGTCGCCCCAACCGATAGCAAAGATCTCAACAGTAAATGCACATCTCAGAGACAACAGCATTTATGTAGAGAAATTGGACGTAGGGGAACAGGGCTGGAGGGCAATGGTTCTCTGGGAATGTTTGGGACTCCGCCCGCGTTGTTACATGGCCAGCAAAGACGTTATCATGGCCAATGCGCTAGTCTAAGTAAGTACCCTCACACCTTTTTTTCTCAACCTTCGTTTGAGTTTCCGCTGCAGTATCCTGGTGCCGGCGCGAGTGCTTGTGCTTGAGAAGAGCCGCCAACCGAGTCTCAGAGGCACCCCTTCAGCATTAGTTCTTCGCGCTTTCAAATGACGGAGCTGTTACATTTGTTCAGCTGCCTACTCGTTCTTCTAGCACGTGGAAATAGCCGTCCTCGGATATGATTGTGCAGTGAATGTACAAGGCGGTGAGCTGTTGCTCTGATGAGTGCAAGAAAATAGCAGCAAAATTTGTTCTGTCTGATCGTTGTTTGACCGTGCTGTTTCAGTATTCTGATGGGACGCAGTTCTGAATGAATTAGGTGA